CCGAGCCGTACAATTCGGTTGCTTACAGCGAGCTAACTGTAACAAGAGTGCGGGTCATCACCAGGCGGGAAAAAAAATATATATATAAATCAAAAGGTTTTAAGAGGTATTTCAAAAGGCATACAGAGATACAGATATGCACGGCGAGGTCTAGCCGCAGCGGCAGCGGAGGTGGGCAGCTGGACGCTTTATTAGGCTGGAACGTGGGTGGGTGTGGGGGCCGGCGGGGAGCGCGGCCAGCGGCGGCCGGGCGCTGCCGAGGGGGCAGCGGGAGGAGCGGGGGCGCCGCCGCCTTCACCTGCAGGATTCGGGAGATGTCGCAGGGCCGCGCTCCGCTGTGCGCGAGTTCCACGATCTTCTGCCGCGTGGAGTCGGGCAGCGGCCTCCCGTTGACGAACACCCCGCCGAGCTGGTTCACGCCGCTGTGACCTGCGGGAAGCACAGCGCCCACCATAGCACCCTCCGCTCCCGGAGCCCCCGGGGAGCGCGCCCGCTCCGCTCCGCACCGCTCCGCGCCCCCGCGCTCCGCCCGCCCGCCCGCCCGCCGCCGTCCTCGCCCCGCCGCCCCCGCCGCCGCCCGACAGCCGCGCTCCCCGAGCCTGCGCTCCCCGTCGGCAAAACCCGCGGAGAACCCCCGAAGCCCGGACAAAAAGCCCGGGACGTGCTGCTGCTGGAGCGGGTTGGGTCGGTTCGCTGGCTCGCTCGGTTTTGGTTTTCCCACCCCCCGCCAGGAAAAGGAGGAAAAAAAAAAAAAAAAGAAAAAAAAAAGGAAAAGAAAGAAAGAAAAAAAAAAAGCCTCTCTGCATCCGCACAAACGCAGCTCGCCTCGCCAAAAGCAAACGAAGAGCTGCCTCGAAAATGCCCAACCTGAAGCTCCAGGCTTTGGAGGAAGTCTCCCTGGAGAAGCTCTGCGCTACGCTCGCTCCGCTCTCCTCTCTTTGGAGCCTCCTGATAAATTGACTCCAAGAGCCCAGGCTTCTTAGCAATAAATAAGCTCCAAATATAGAAGAGGGGGAAAATATGATGAGCCTCTCTGACATTTGTCTTTAAAATAAAACTAGCTGCACGTCAAGTTTGAGCTTAATTTCTGGAAATAGGCGGAAGTCGCCCCGGATCATGCATGGAAGGCTAATTGAAAAGATCAGTTGGAGCACTTGTGGCAGGCGTGTCACTTTATGACAGTACTCTGCTTTTGAAAATTGCATCGTCACGACAAATAGTAGCATGATAAAACGACCCTTTCTGTCCGCATTTGGATATCACTCAGACTAGATTGAACTCTACTCGCTTTCCCTCCGAGGGAGGCTGCGGTTTAAGGTAGCCAGGGGCTCTGCGCGGACACGACCGAGGGGGCGCGCTCCCCGCGCAATGGATTCGAAGTGACACCCGGCCTGGGTCATTTACCGTCCGGCCGCCCCGGCCCGGCAGCACGGGCGGCGGCTCCGCATCCCTTGGCGGCCGCGGGGAGAGAGGCGCGCCTCCTCCTCCTCCTCCTCCTCCTCCTCTCCTCCTCCTCCTCCTCTCCTCCTCCTCCTGCGTCCCCTCCCCGCCCGCGCCCGGCGGTGCCGCCGTGCGCCCCGTCGGACGGGCCGGGCCGGGCCCGCGGGGGGCGGCGGCCCGGGGGCGGGGAGGGCCGGGGCCCGGGGGCTCGGCGGCTCCCCCCGGCCCCCTCCCGGGCGGGGAGCAGGCGCGCAGGGCCGGGCGGCACAGCAGCGCCGTGGCCGGTTTGCAGGGGGACGCTCGCCACCGTAAAAAATGGCAGCGGAGAAAGCGAAATCAAAGTTTCGCTTAAAAGGTTAAGCCTTAATCATTATATAATTTCCCTGGAGAGCGGTGTAGATCTCGCCCAGTGGCAATGATTATGCGCCTTGTATTCTATTGCTAGTCATCTAATAGGAAAACATATGGTGTCAATTTGGATGCTCTGCACCATATACACCCAGGAGTTATTAACACAAAGCCTGAAGAGCCCGCCGCGACCTTTAAACAAAATAAAGGCTTCACCCGAATGATATCTTTTCTACGTTTTGCAGTGGCGATCCCGCACGGCCGAGTGAAGGCATCCCCATTACCATACACCCCCGGCACGCCGCGGCCAAGGCCAGCCGCCGCCGCCCGCAGGTGCCGCCGCCCGGCCCGCCGGGGCCGAGCCCCTCTCGAGCTCACACAGCCCCGAGCCCACCCCGCTGGGGGCTCCCCCGAGCCCCCGAGAGGCCTCCCGGCGGGGGACGGCTCGCCGCCGGCCGGGCAGGGCACGAAGGGGGCCCGCAGCCGCGCACGCTGCCGGCAGAGCGCTTGGGGAAGGTCCCGCACAGCTCCGCGGCCCGCAGCCGCAGCGGCTGGGGGCTGAACGCCCCGCGCAAGGCCCGCGCAAGGCCGCCTGCGCTCCCCCCGCCGCGATGCGCGCAAGAAACGCGCATCTCATGCAGCGGAGCGCGGCGGGGATGCGCCACCCCGCAAGATCGCTCCGGCGGGGCCACGCATTCCCGCCGCACTGCGGGGCGCACCCCGCGGAAGATGCGCACCCCGGGGCGCCTGGGGCCTGCCCCGCTGGCACCGTCGGCCGGAGCGGGGGCAGCGCCCTGGCGCGTTGTCTGAGCGCTCTCCGCTCCGAGAAACCCCCTCCGCCACCGCCGATGCGCGCAGGCCCGCCGCCCAGGTCTCCAGCCCCGGCAGCGACAACAAAAGGGCACGGCGAACCAACACGGATCCGCGAAGGGCACCGGCGCAACCAGGAGGCGGCGGGGCGTCGCACCTAGCACGGGGGGGCTCCCGGTGCGGGGCAGGTGGGCGACGGGCCCGGGCCCCGACCCGGGCCAACCCCGCGGCCCTGGAGCCGCCGCCGCGCTCCCGGCCCGGCCTCCGCGCCCCGACGGGGCGGGCGGCGCGGAGCTACCGAGCCCCAGCGGCGGAGCCCCCGCTCCCCAGCGGCGGGGCCGCCTCCCCTACCCGCTGCTGCGCGCCCGCGGCCGCCCCGCCTGCCCTCCGCGGCCGCGAAGGGGCGCGGAGTCACTTACTGTTCTGCATGGTGGGCTGAGAGAGCAGTATCCCACGGGGCTCGCCTATAGCAGTCTATCAGCAATAAAATAGGCGTTAATCAGGGGGAGGCAGTACACAGGGTTAAGCTAACATCTCCCGGGCGTACTTTGTTATCCTTAGACGCCTTCCCCAATTAGTTTAAGGTTTCGGGGGCTTTTGCGCCTCGAGGCAGAACTACGCGCGTATATCCCTACACAGGCAAAAATTTAAGAAAAGCAAAGCGCCGAGTGGTTTCTGGCTTTAATTGCATGCAGGTGGCGTATTGCCTCGTCGGTAATGCCCTTCGCTGAGGTGGTGCATTAACTGGAGCAACAGCAAGCACAAAGAGAGTCCGAAGTCAGGTTTTTAAACTTGCCTGAGAGCGGGGTGGACTGTCCTCTCATACAATTTAGGGACTCACACATCTGCGTGTCACTAGTTAAAGTCTTCCCTCTAGGACAAAGCAAAAGAAGTACATTAAAAGTGCGGAGCGACGCGGGGAAGGTGCGCCGCGACACTGCGCGCCCCGCCGCGGGACGGGACAGGACGGGGCCGGGGTCGGGGCCGAGGATGGGACGGGGCCGGCCCCGCCGCTACCGCAGCCCGGGAGGAGAACAGAGGAGAGGAGAGGATAGAAAAGGAAAGGAGAGAAGAGCAGAGCAGAGCAAAGCAGAGCAGAGCAGAGCAGAGCAGAGGGGCGCAGCAGGGCGGGCGCTGCGCGGGCCCTGCGCGCACTTGCCGCTCCGCCGGCTGCCCTGTGCGCTGGCAGCGGGGCTCCATTTTTTTACCTCCGGGAATTTCTTCGATTTATTTATTTGTCTCTCCCCGCGGCACTAGCAACTTTCTCTCCCCCAAACTCCACGTCTCGTGATTAACTTCTTTTTTGGTCTTTAGATCTTCCCCTTTTTCACTGTACTGTGACACACGCTGTCTACCTCGCCTCACTGCTTTAAAAAGTAAGAACAGGAGGGGGTGAGAACTGTTAAACAAAGCCTACAGAAAGCGAACAATGGCCTCCATTCTGCTCCTCTACCCAAACCCCGAGTGCAGAAACCCAGGCTCCTTAACCGGCCGCGCAGCTTCCCAACTAAACGGACCAACAACCCTCCAACTTACAAAGAGCAGAGAAACAAGCCCCTTCTCCCTTCATTAGTGCCTGCCTTGACCCAGCGCCTGGACAGTCCCAATCGCCTTTTTTTTTTTTTTTTTTTTTTTTTTTTTCTTTTCCCCTCTCCCCCCCTCCTTCCCTTACTCCCTCTCTCCTCCTCTCGCCACCTTCCCTCCCTCTCCCCCACCGCCCCCACCCCGGGCCACTTATTTATTTATTTATGCGTCCCCATGTATTTATTTGAAATCGTCGCGGGTGAAAATGGAAAAGTAATTTCTCGTTATAAATATCTGGCGGTAATTGTGTTACTGGTGCGAGTTGTTAGGGGTTGTAAAAAGATACAACAGCTCAGTGGGGTGCTCAATTGGGGAGGGACAATTACAATAAAGAGCCCATTCAAGGGGGTTGCTAAAAAAAAAGGAGGTAAAATAATGAAATAGTCGCAGCCTTCATTTTCTCTCCTTTTTTTTTAGCCTAAAAATACTCATTCTCTTTCTTTTGCGCCTATAATGAATATTAATTTTACTCTTCCTGCATATGATGGAGAATTCAAAGAGGCACGTTTCCCCATTCAGGACTAGCCACGGTATAATTTATTAAGTAGCTTTTAGTAATCTTAAATCCATAAAAATAAACATCAAACAAGTACTTTCTCGCAGCATGAAGACTTTAGCTGGTAAATATTTACTGCTCTTTGGAGAACTACCTGATTAGCAGCAGAGCGAGCTACACTGTACTTCAATGGAGACGTGGCAGTATCTCCTCTGGCTGAACCGAACGTGAAGCCATCCCTTTAATACACCGAACACGTCTGCACCGACACACACCGAACGGCAACCCCACTTCTCCGGGCAGCATTTCCTCGCGTATTTAACGCGCAACTCATAACCCTGGGGCCTGCGGGGCCGGGGAAGGCAGGCGGAAAGCCGCGGCTGCGCTCCCAGCCAAAGCCCTGCCAGCACCTACCTCGGCCACGGCACCGGGGGGATTGGGGAGAAGGGGCAAAAAGCACGCCGCGACACAAACCAACCCCCCAAACGCGGCCGAGAACGTTTCACAGTGCAGGCCGAGCCTAGCCGAGTCCTTCAGCAAGGTAAGAGGAGGTGCGGGGCAGGACGTTGTGCTCCCAAACTCGCCCCCACTCGAGCCGCCGAGCCGGCGCAGCGCCAGCGCCGGGCACCCGCAGCCGGGGAGCCGTGGCCGGCCGGGAGGCAGCGCGGAGCGGTGCGGGGCGGTGCGGGAGGGCAGCGCCTGGGAGGCAGCGTGCCGTGTCCGAGGCAGCCAGCTCCACCATTAGGCCAGGCCTAATCCGCCGCTCGTTTTGTAATCTGAAAATCTGGATATAATCTGATCTAGGGTTTTTTTTTTTTTTTTTTTTTTTTTTTTTTTTCTTTCTTTCCCCCTCTGCCTCTCCCGGTGAAAAAACACACACAATTAGGCGTTCAGGTGGCAAAGTTTCCTGTTCTCGGGGCAAATGAGAAAAGGCTAAAAACGAATCGGTTTGCGATCAGGAGTTGGTAGAGGTCACCAGCTATAAACATTTATTGTCAAGGGCCACTTTTATTATTTTATGTCCCTAAGACGGAGAAAATGCCGTCACTTTTCGTCTCTAGGATGGTGTGGTCGTTTTCCAAAACAGCATCTGCCAGGTGCATTTAATCGTTCGGGAAACTTTGTTTTTAAACTTTCCAGAAATTATTCCTGCCCCGCGTCTCCTTTTACCAGCTCCGTACGAGGCATCGCAAGGTTAAATTCAAATCCAGATTTTCCAATTGCACTTGCGAGGGGAAAAGAACCAAGTTTATTGTTGCGCGTCAGGGGGAGCGAAGCTGCTTTTTGCACGGCCAGGAGTTTGCAACTTCTTGGAGGAAAAAAAAAAAAAAAAAAAAAAGACCTTGCTATAGCGCGGGCTCTCAGGCCCGTGGGTACCCCGTGGGGTTACGGGGCTGTGACAGGAGTGAACGAGAAAGCTTTTTTTGGAGAAAAAAAAAAAAAAAAAAAAAAAAAAAAAAAGGACGGATGGATGGATCCGATCCACAGCGCTTCCCAAAGGCCCCCAGAGCCCGGCCGCGGCCGGGAGCCGCCGCGGAGGACGGGGCTGCGCTCGGGCGGTGCTGCCTTGGGGCCGGGGCAGCCGCCGGCCCCGGGGCCGAGCCGGGGAGATGCGGGGCTGCTGATGGGAGCTGACAGCCCCTCGGCTCCGCTCAGCGCCCCGCGCAGCGCGCCTGCGAGCTCACTTGGCCTAGGAGGTGACTTTCCCGGCCGCCCTTTGCCTCCTCCTCTCCCTCCTCGCCGCTTCGCCCCGTCCTCCCGGCGGCCGGCTCCCCTTCCCCGGCCGAGCCCCGCAGCACAAAGCGGCCGCCGGGGCCGCCCCCGGGCACCCGGAGCCTCCGCTCCGCTCCGCTCCCGTCCTCGCCTCCCTCCCTCCTTCCGCGCGGCGGGGGCGGCACAGGGCCCCGCGGCCCGGCCCGGCACAGCACGGCCCGGTACGGCCCGGTACGGCCCGGCACGGCACAGCCCAGCCCGGCCCCGCCGCCCCTCCCGTGCCTGCGAGCGGGGGTGCCGGTAGCAGCGGCGGCGCGCACACACACACACACCGGCGCCTGTGGTCTCCCTGCCCGGCAAGTGCTACGTGGGAACTGCCGCTGCTGCTGGGCTGCTGCGAGGGTTCGCACCGGTTTCCCGGTCAGATGCTTTAGCTTTTCCAGAGGACGCGGGCTCGTGTGAAAGCAGAAAGTTTGTGAGCTCCTGGGCTGGAAAGTTCCCTGGGAAGCTCTCCGGAATGCAAATGGGAATCCGAGAGAGAGAGCGCAGGAGAGAGCGAGAGCCCTGCCTAAATATTAAAATGCGAGAAGGAGAAGCCGGGAGAAGAAATGAGCGGACTCACCTTTATGAGGCATCCTGTCTTGTTGTCAAAGCTCCTGTCAATAGTTTAAGAGCGCACTGATTGGAAATGATGGCGCTTTAAAAAGAGTTGCCAGCAAAATAGTTTTTCTCCAGTGAAGCTGCTGGTTGTGTGATCTTGGATTCCTGGGAAGGAGACAGAGATTGACAATAAAATGGGCTGTCAGTGACTGGAGAGCGAGAGATAAAAGAGTGTGTGAGTGAAGTGGGGAGAGAGAGACAGAGCACACCTATGCTGATTGGTGATGGTTCAAGTGTATTAATGTATGTGTGCCTTGCTCTCTGCCTCGCCTCCACTGCTCTTCACTGGCCCATTAGCAAAGCCTGACCTCTGTCATCATCTTCCAGCAAAACACTTCCTCCCTGCGCCTTAACCAGAGCGGGAAATGAGGCTGAGCCGGGGCTCGCTTTTCAAACCCACTAATCACTCCGCACATGCAAATACTCCGCTCGCTCCCACACAAAATATTGCTTTATGCAAAGCGACGCCATCGCCTCCCCGCCGCCCATTGGCCGCCCCGCGCCCGGCACGGCTCAATTGGCCCAGCCGTTTGAATAGCAGGGCCCTGGGCCCGGCTCCCGGCTCCCGGCCCCGGCCCCTGCTCCGCACCCGGCTCCGCAGCCGCACCCGCGGCCCCGCACCCGCCGCCCGCCCGGGCTCCGCCGCCGCCGGCCGGCCCCGCCAGCACCGCCCGGCCCCGGCTCGGCCCGGCCCCGGCTCGGCCCCGGCTCGGCTCAGCTCTCCGGGCCGCCCCCGGCAGCTCGGAGCAGGGCCCCGGCCCCCAAAAATGCGGGGAGCGGCGAAGGGGAGCGGCGCGTTTCCAGGTCGGGCTGGGGGAGGGGGCCGGGGGGCCGGCGGGAGGGGGTCGGAGGGAAAGGGGGGGGGGGGGGGGGGGGAAAGGTCAATTTGCATTTAAACAGTTAGCCGCCGTCCGACAATGGAGATAAGGGGAAAATAACATTCAAATGGTAAAGACATAAATATTTGGGAGACAGGCGCTTTGTAGGGCGGGCGCCGCCCGGAGCCAGCGGCCGCCCGCAGCCCCCCCAGCCCCGGCCGGCGGAGAGCAGAGCAAACAGGCGGCGGAATTGTGTGCTGAGGGCTCTTGTGAAGGGCCTCAAGAGTCCTTTACTAAACACTCGCAAACTTCTCCCACGTGCCGTTTGTTGACTGAGGGCTGCCGTTGTTGTGTGCGTTTTTTTTTTTTTTTTTTTTTTTAATTTTTATTATTATTTAAGACCCCGCAGAGCAGCCGGGAGGAGGGGGGGACGCGGCAGCGCCCCGAGCCCGGCCGCCCCCGAGGGGTTCCCCCCGACCCCCCCCCCGTGCGCCCGGGGAGCCCCTTCCCCGGCTGCCAGAGGCGGAGGGGGGAAAGTCAGTAAATGACTTCTCCGCTCTGACCACACACCACAAGTGCGTGTGCTGAATGCCGGACCATTAGGACACACCTCAGTACACTCCAAAGCAACCCCTCCGCGCACGCATTTGAGGTTACACTGGGAGCACCAGCCCGAGCTCGGGGTGTCCCCGGCGGCTGGGGCGAGCCGGGCGGGGACGAGGGGGAGGGGACCGCGGGGGGGGGGGCTGGGGGAGAGAAAGGGAAGAAGGAGAGGGGACAGGAAAAAGAAATTCCAAGAGCCACCGAGGAAAGTGGCGAGTATGAACGCGCGAAGCATAAAATGAAGTCGTAGCCGCATACACTTGACTTCTCTTGACATGTGAAAAGTGCTAAAAGTCAAAGCTCATCAATAAAGTATCTTGAAATTGAATAAGAGCCCTGACAACCATTGCATTCTTAAATAAAGTACAATGAGGAGACAAACGACTCTGCCAAGGAGTTTGCATGTGAGTGAAAGGGCGCCTCAATAGGAGCGGGATAATGGGCTGCCCGGCCGTCATGCACTGTCATCCCCGGTCCCGCCGAGAAGCTGCCACGGCTCCGTGATAGCACAAAATGGGCTCTTAACAGACTCGCTGCTGCCTGCCCTCCGCGCCGCTCGCCGCCCCTTCCCCCGACGGCCGCCGGCGCGGGGCCGCCGCTCGCCGCTCCGGGCACAACGGGGCCGAGCCGGGCCGGAGGGGGCCCGGGGGGGACCCCGGGGCCGGCGGAGCCACCGGGCCCTGCCCGCGGACCCGGGCCCGGCCGGGGCTGCCGCCGCCGTGCGCCCCCGGCCCGGCCCCAGCTGCAGCTCGGAGGGGCCGGGGGGGCCCCGCGTGATGTCCCCCGAGTCATGCATATGTATGGCGGCGGGACGGGCGCCCGGCAACGTTTGGGATCGCCCCGAAGGTGAGGCGAGGCGAGGCGGGGCGGGAGCCCGACGTGGGGCGCCCCGAGGGGCCCCCGGCAGCCCCCGCTCTGCGCCTCCCCCTGCCCCAAAGTGCCCCAAGTGGCCGAGCCCTGCTCCCGGGGCGCCGGGGAGGGAGAGCCCTCAGGCCCCAAAAAGCGGTGTTTGTAAGGTGTCCCGGCTCTCGGTCGCTCCGAAGGGACTTGGGGAGCTGGCAGCTAGTCCTCTGCTGGGGAGAAGCCAGTGGCGTCCTCGGGGGCTGCTTTTGTTATTCTTGGTTCTGGATATATGTATATTTTTTCCTCACTCTCTCTACCAAACGAGCAATTTTTATTTTTTTATCTGTTTTTTTTAACTCTCGTCCACGGGGCGTTAAAGTGAGGAAAGCGATAAAAAAAAATAATAAAAAAATCACTTTGTTCGCAATTGCAGGCAAATATCATTTTTACAAGCTCTCAATTAGCCATCCTCTGGATTAGCACCTTCTTACGCCTCGGCTCCGTAATCTTGTTGCTATTTTCCCCTCGGGCGCAGCGGCCTTTGTGCTGCCTCCTCCCCAAAAGAAAACTTTTGAACGCCCCCCCGAGCCGAAAAAAAAAAATAAAAAAATAAAAAGGAGGAGGAGGGAGGGGGGCGTGAGTGGCGCTGACGTCACGGCGGGGCGGCCGGGGGTGGGCATCGGGGGGCGACGGCGAGGGGCGGCCGGGCGGAGCGGGAGCCCCGAGCAAAAGTTGGGAGGCAGAAAAGCGGCGGGGCCGGGACGGGGCGGGCCGGGGCCGTGCGGGGGTCCCTGCCCGCAGCTCCGCGCTGCCGCCCGCCCCGTCGCGGCCCCGGTGCCCGGCGGGCCCCGGCCCGCCCCGCGGCGCCATTTTACCTCCGCCCGCCGCGGGGATTGCGCGGCCCCGCTCCGAGCCCCCCGCCGGTGCCGGTGCTCCCCCCCCTCCCGGCCCCCGTGGCCCGGCCGGGCACAGGGAGAGCCCCCCCCGGGCCGCCCCCCCGGGGGCTGCCCTCGGGCAATGCCGGCAGCGGCGCCCCGAGCCGGGGGAAGGGGATCCGCAGAGACGGCCGTGCCTGGACGCTCCGCAGGGAAGGCTCGCTCGCCCTTTTTTTGTTTGTTTGTTTGTTTGTTTTCTCCCTCTTTTAATTTCCTGCTCTCACCTAGCACCGCTCGCCTGCCGAGGTTAGCCCTCCGGGACGGCTCTGCCTGCCTCGCCCTCCTTTTCCCCCTTTTCTCTCTTTCACCATCACTTCCCCCCTCCTTTCCCCTTTTTCTCGAGGGGCTGATTTCCTGCTCCTAACCCCGCTCCGCTCCCGTTGCGGGTTACGGACAGGAGCAGCCCCGCCGCGAGGTGCCCGGCCCGGCCCCGCTCCGCTCCCCGCGGCGAGGGCAGCGCCGGGCCCTGGCCGGGAGCGAGGCACCGCGCCCAGCGCTGCTAAATCCCCGCCAGGTCCCTGCAACTCGCATTTCCTACAGCTTTTCTCTCTCTCCCTCTCTCTCTTTCTGTTCCTAATACAATCCCAAAGAAAAAAAAATATTAAAAAAGGCATAACAAAAAGGGTAAAAAATATATATAAAAAGGTAAGTAACTATTATATGCGGCACTTTTTTTTTTTTTTTTTATAAATAATTGCTATTCCTAATTAAAATAATTTTCACCTTTTTACATGATCTCTTGCCTGAGTTTTGATTTTGTGTTAAACAG